GGGGGGGGGAGCGAGAGAGCGAGAGCGAGAGAAAGCTGGGCTCAGATGTTTTGGGTTCTTATGGGCTTAAATGAGTAAAGTCCCATTTTAACCTGTAGCCGCTTTGTCTTTTTGTTTGCATCCGTACCCACTTTTTAAAAAACTTCAGCTTCCCTTTATAACTAGAAAACTTCAGCTCTAGACCTGAAGTTTTCGGGTTACTAAACAAAAACTTCAGCTCTAGAGCTGAAGTTTTTATTTTATAACTAGCAAACTTCAGCTCTAGAGCTGAAAATTTTCGGGTTACTAAAGAGCTGAAGTTTTCGGGTTACTAAACAAAAACTTCAGCTCTAGAGCTGAAGTTTTTATTTTTTAACTGGAAAACTTCAGCTCTAAAGCTGAAGTTTTTATTTTATAACTTGAAAACTTCAGCCCTAGAGCTGAAGTTTCCGGGTTACTAAACAAAAACTTCAGCTCTAAAGCTGAAGTTTTTATTTTATAACTGGCAAACTTCAGCTCTAGAGCTGAAGTTTCCCGGTTACTAAACAAAAACTTATAAAATAAAACTTCAGCTCTAGAGCTGAAGTTTTTATTTTATAACTGGCAAACTTCAGCTCTAGAGCTGAAGTTTGCGAGTTAAAAAAAAAACTTCAGCTCTAGAGCTGAACTTCAGGCCCCGCTACTAAAATGCTGAAGTTTTGTGTAATTGCCTTTGCTACTTCAGCCCCGTGTGCTGAAGTTATGTGAAAAAGCGAGTACGCTTACATTTTTTTTTGCAAAGCGGGCACAGGTTAAAATATGGCACAAAAAGCGAGTATAGATGCAAATGCCCCTTAAATGATGCTATTGGGTCTGCTTTGTTTTTAGAAAAATGTCTTTTTCAGACTAAAAACGATAGAAATTACACCAGGTAGCCACTCTAAAGGATTGTTATTTAGAAATTAGCCAATACATTCTGAATTTCGATTTTTACGTTTAATTTTTCGGGACATAAACAGCCTGAATTGTCCTGAAATTCAGATTTTTTGGTTCAAATTTTCAGGATAAAATAATTGCTTCCTCTGTCCATAATAAGTAATTTTTTGGCCAGTGTCAAGTTAACAATATGCAAATTTAATTAAAGGTAATTTAGTCAAAATACTTATTTGTTTTCTAGGAGTTTGAATTTTATTAAGGGGTGTATCAAAAACAAAATAGTAATTTATTGTAGACCGGAATGAGTACTGACTAATCCCTAAATAACAATACTAAAAGTGGCTGTTTGTGTAATCCCCCGAAAACCGAGGCAGAAGATAACATTTGTCTCATTTCAAAGGGAGAAATTCAAAAATAGCCAGATTTACCACTGGTCGTTGAAAAATAGCCAAGTTTCAAAAGTCATCGAAATTTAGCCACTTTAAATCTGAGCGAAAACACTGTTCAAAATCCGGAAAAATACGCCCGCAAATTTTACGGGAGTTCCAGCATAAGTATGCTTGAACTCCGTAAATTTTACGGAGTTCCAGGATACTATGCTGGAACTCCCGCAAATTTTACGGGAGTTCAAGCATAATTATGCTGGAACTCCCGCAAATTTTACGGGAGTTCCAGCAAGTATAATTGTCCAGTATAATATACTGGAGTTTGGAGCACTGGTGCTCCAGTCTCCCGCAAATTTTACAGGAGTTAGCAAAGTATACCGGTCCAGCATAATATGCTGGAGTTCGTACACAAATGCACCAGAACTCCCGTATATTATACTGGACCGGTCCCTGTTGCAGCAAAATAGTGGCTATTTTTCATTGATTTGATAAACACTGACTATTTTTTATTGACCAGTGTGAAAACTGATTATACCATGATATTTTAACCATTTCAAATTGTTTACGGGTTCGACAGTCAACAATGAGGCAATGACTTTATCTGTGCTTTTTTTTAATCTGGAAAGAGTAATCACGTGAACTAGACAAAGCTAAAAAGACAGGGGTCAAAAAGAAAATTAAAATATTTACAAAACCGACCTCCCATTATTCCGTTATTATTTGCACAACAGTCCAGTCCAGCCATGCAACCCACTCACTATAGACTTTAGTCGTACCTATAAAATGCCCTACTGCTTTTTCAAGGCAGTTTCTCCGTTTCTTCTCTACACAGATCTGATCCCTACTACTCAGGTGCCTGCTCTCTCTTTTTGCTTCTCCGTTTGAATCTCATTTTTATTTTATTGTAAAAAAAGTTGAGTCTCATTTTTTTTGTCGATCGTCTTCATCTGGATTGGCCGCGTTTTGGTTTAGCATCGTTTTTTTAATAAAAATTTCGCGGTTTCGGATCTGAGTTTAGAATGCTGCTGCGATGACGAGGTTGAATTTTTAGCGATTTATGAATTATGATTACTTGTCGATTGATTTTCATCCATGGAGCTCGTGAGGAGGTTGGATTTTTATTTCGCGCTATTGTTAGTTTAAAATGCATTAACTATTAATTATCATGAATCTATATACGTGTTCAATGTGCATTGCTGGCTGACTTTTCATGTCACTCTCAGGGTTTCGTTCAGATGAAATTCAAAAAACTAATTTAAGGGAATCAATAGAAGAAACTGATAAATTAAAAAAAAGAAAAAAGAAAAAAGGGCAGCTTGGTGCACAAAGCATCCCACGTTCACGCAGGGTCATGGTAAGGGCCGCACCCCTAGGGGGTGTAATGTAGGCAGCCTAGGTGTGATGTTTGATAGAATAAATCAAATATTTGACATACCTGACATTATTAGTAGCATCACAGTGTGATGTTTTTATGGTTCTGGATGATTTAACAATGACTAAACTTGCATTTCCCATAATCTGATGTTGTTTTTGCAATCTGCGATGCTGTAATGTTGTGGAGATTTGTGTTTATGTCCAAAATTTTTGGTGTACCGCTTGATTTCATTGGTTGGAAGGTTGCTTCCTAATTGAGGGATGTTATCTGGTTTCGGTATATGGACGAGTCAATGATAATGTTAAACCCGGCCAGATAATTGTGTAACATGTAATTGGTCCTAATGGATACAAAAGCTACAATTTTAAGTTCATAGATTCAGATAGATATGAGTTCTACGTCCGCAGCTATTTCATTATCATGCATCTACTAATAGGACAAACTTCTGTCTATACTCACAATATTTATGCTGTACTAGTCTTGATGATATCCTTAATTGTAGTCATATGTTACCAAGTTTTGGATTGTCTTTGTGATTTCTTAATTGAATTGCTTAGTTTCTTATAGGATGGTTCTTTGAGAAGAGAAGTTATATACTAAAGCCCCATATGTGATTCTGTTAATTTAGTTTACATGCCACACACACATACACTCATATTATGGTTCATCTTTTATGAGGTACAAACACGGGGGTGGGTCAAAGAGCTTATTTGTACTTCAGAAGTTTTGTTTACAATGTCTGCTGCTTTGAGCAGAACCTAGCATTTAAAAGTTGAGAGATCATGGGTCGTCGTGGAGTCAGTAGCGGTGGAGGACAGAGTTCCCTGGGTTACCTTTTTGGAGACGGTGAGGCTCCAAAACCTACTGTCACCAAGGTAGAAGCTCCACAGAATCAGGGAGCTACTACTACAAGTGATCCACAGAAAGCTACTGCAGCTGCACCAGCTGCAAATGCTAATAAGCAGATTCCTGCTGGCATCCAGGGGAGCAACACCAATAACTATTTCCGCGCAGATGGACAAAACACTGGGAATTTCCTCACTGTATGATCCATATCATTTTTCTTTCAAAGCCGGTTTTAGCATTTCCTTGCAGATTACTTATCCCCTCCTACTTATTGGTTTCTTTTTTTATGATTCACCTCATGGCTTTGATCAAATAAATTAGTTTTTAAATTGACAGCTTTCAGAAGGTGAGTTTGACATGGAAGCAGTTCTTTTATGATGAAAATTCTTTTCCATTCTCTACTCAGTATAGTACTATATGCTTCTTACATGCTTAACTCCGTCACCCCTTCAGTTCTTGCTGCTTAAGTAGAAGCACACTTCTGCTTTCCAAGTAGGTCAATTGAAGCCATTAACATGATATGTTCCTTTATTTTCTTTTACCATTTTCAGGAGGGCAATTGAGGATAAAGCATCTTTGTTTTTTCTCTTTCTGAAGGAAGTTCTTTATCATTTGCTATTTAGTTCAGTATTACTTGCTTCTTGCGTTCTTGATCCTGTCATATCACCCTTCTGTCAATTGCCGCCTTCTGTCAATTGCTGCTGCCCAAGTTGTAGAGCACTTCAGGAGGGGAATTTGAGAACGGAACCATCCTCTTCTGAAGATTTTGTTTCGATTTTCATCTAGCTCAGTAGCATAAGCTTTTTGCATTGCTAATTCCGTCGCGTCATATTCCCTTTTTATTGTCTAGTTTACAGGGTTATGTTAGCTTGTCAATTACTAAATGTTTGAATCTTGTGTCTCTTTCCAGGATCGCCCATCTACCAAAGTGCATGCCGCCCCAGGTGGTGGATCTTCCCTAGGTTACTTGTTTGGCGATGGCAAGAACTAGTTCCTTCTGTCCAAAGATGAAACTGTGTGTTCTTAAAAAATGATGAGACTGCTGTTACTGTATGTTGGTTTATTTTGTGTATGGGAAAACAGTGTCGGCATTCGGATGATCCAATTGTAATATGATAATCCTTTCCTACTCACTGTTGGGATTCACTCGATGCATGCTTACAGAAATCAAGTTTTAGTTCGTGCTACTGTTGTTTTATGCAATGATATAAAAAATCTCAACTTTTTGCATCCATCTCCAAAATGATTATGAACATGCAAGATACTGAAACAATTGCTCTTTTCATTTTATAGATGTATTAGCGACATTATGATATCTACAACTGAGTATTCAGAGTGATGATTCATTGAATGGCATTATAATTACTACTGAAACCATTTTCAATTAATGAAAATTTCTCAGTGCAAAAATTCGTACACTCAAATGCTATCTATAATCAGCCTTGGCATGAATTAGTTCTTGTCATTAGATGAAATCATAATGTCCTTGAGGAAGTCTTTTCGTAGAACATGGTAAACTGCAGTATTTGATTACCAGGGAGGATTTGGCACTTCACAGTTATAAAGACAACTTGGCGATAAGACTGGGAAATTGGTAAAATTGTTTTCTTGCAGCTTCTAGTATTAGATTAGATGGTGATCACTGTCACCACAGTGAATATTGGTGAGAGGGCAGTGGTATCAGATGATATTGATTCTTTGCGATTTGGATCTTTACCCAAACATATCCTGATCCGTAAACCCGAAGAAAATGAAAATGTGTAATTCCCATGCAGGTTGTAGTTAAGTTAGCTCTTCGCTCTCCTGCCCCTACTGCCACGCCCCCAACCCCCACACATACACAATACTAATAAAAAGGGAAAAAAGGAATGCTAAACATAAAAGAAAAAACTTAAAGAGAGAAGGGATGAATATGAAGCATAAAAATATGAGGATTCCCAATTCTCAAACATCAGTAATTGTCATATTGGGAAGACAAAAAGTTCTAGTTGATATCCTAATATATACAACAGTCGCTATCGAGCTATTGACAAAAAAAGCAGTCCTTGGATCTAAATCATTTTCACCCCAGTTCCTCTCCTGTCAACTCTCGCTTCCACCTCCTTGAAAAGAGACACCAACAAGGGGAAAAAGAGAAAAACAGTGTTTGATAGTTATAAAAAGAAATGGTTAAATGATGACAATTCTTTGGGAGAATGTCAAAGAGTCTGGGGGCCATAGACAAACGGGAATTCAAGGAAATAACCACCATCTGATGACAAAATTGCGCAAGGCTAATCAGGTTTCCGTTGATTCTTATCTGCAAAAAAGGAATAAGAAAAAGTTAGCTAATGCACTAAGCACAATACATCACCAATTAGTTGAGGAGCAGGTCTGCTGCTATCTTATGGTTACAGGAGCATAACTGATATGCTAAGGTTAGAGGTCCAAAAACAAACTACCATTGGCATTCAATAGTGTCTATCTTCACCTCTTCAGAAGTAATATGTTTCTAAATTAAACATTCAGTAGTAAAATTACCTAGAGGACTACATTGAGATGCCCTAAAGTGAGATGTGAGGATCATATCTGGTTTCTGTATTCATATTGATTTCCATGAATTGACTTTGATCAAGAGAATCTTTCTCCAAGCTGTTTGATTCTGCCACTCCACAAATGCAATAGTAATCAATTCACTGTCGCAATTCATGCATATATGTAAAGCATATCGTTTCTGCCAACAGTTCAAATAGACAAAGTGATAAATCAGTGAAAGGATGTCAAAGCTGATTAGTCCTAAGAGTTGGGCTAAAGAGGAGAGCTACCAGGGATATAGTTTTCATTATCCAAATTGTTGCTAGCAGAAAGCAGAAAGATCTTATATCTAAATATCCATTGGCAAATGGTTTTACTTATAATAGCGGAAAATAGCAGCCTTTTTCTGCTTTCTAAGATTTAAATGCCTTAGCAAACAAGGTAAGACAATACACGAGATAGCAAGTAAAAATGTAGGGAAATTTTCTAGCACAAAAAAGGTAATGATACAAATAGTCATTCTTTCAGACATTAAAGATAGCACAATCAATCAGAAAAAGCTAATTTAACAATTCTTAATACGAGATGACAGGAGTTTCATACATATCTATTGATGAAAAGCAAAGATTTTATTACTAGCAGAAAAGGGGAAAACCACTAATCAAAGGACTCCAAGTACCTATTTACTTGTGTGATGGCTTCAAGTATTTAGTTACGATAAAAGTAATAAGGCATTTAACATGTCTCTATTGCCAACCCAAAATAAGCACGTCAGAAACTCAATTTTTTCTGTTCCATCACATGGTTTTGGAACAAAAACAAAAATGGTATAAATGCTTGCAGATCAAACAGGCAAAAAAAGCACAGATATGACGCTGAATTAAATTTAACTTACAAGTTTGTCCAAAATCATACATAGTAAATTAGAATCCAAGACAGATATTTACTAATATTTCATTTAATCCCGTTTGCATTTGCTCATCAACTTTTGAAAGAACTCTACAATTAGAAAGACACAAGGCAGGAGCAGCACAGCCTTCAATCTAGAAATCTTGTTTTGCATTATCGCTTGACTGCAATACTGCTTGGGTTCGGGTGGGGGTAAACGATGCGGGTGTGGATCTAGAAGTCTGATTCTTCATCACATAAAATTGGATTCGAGGGTATGGATCTGAATGCGGATAAGGGGTTTTGAGATACGATTAATAAATGTACAATACGACACATATATAAGTATATATTTCGATTAATTAAAGTTATGGCAAATTAAGTTACCCCCTTAACTATAGACCAAATCCCTGTTACACACTTTTTGCCGACGAAAATCACCTGACACACTCAACCTTTCCTAAGTGTAGCTAAGACGCACCACTTTTTTCTTGACCGGTTTGTCAAAGTTTGTGTGATATCACGCACCAATAAGGACATGACACGTGTTATAACTCAAGAAAAATAATAAAATACTTAATTTCCACCCTAATTAATATATTTTTAAAAAAATAATGAAAACGAAGTCAAAGGATCCCCTTCCCAACACATCTCTCATCTACCCAACCCCACTTTTAGTCATCTTTCCCCATTGAAGTGTTTTCCTCCATTAAAATCCACCGAAATAACCCCTCCACCAAATCACGGATCCTCCATATTCCTCCATTTTACTCTCATTTCACACCCAACAGCCGCCCAACCTCTCTCACCACTGCTAGCCGCCGGACAACTCCACGCCGGTCGGAGTTGCCGGCCGGCTGGCGAAAATCGCTCCCTTGCCGTTGCCAGAAAATCAAATCCGGAGGAAACTCGTCGAAGAATGGTCGGATCTTGGCCAGATCTGCCGAATCTGGTCGGAAGCAAAGCTTCTACATCGTTCTTTATTTTTGTATCTCTTCTTCTCACCTTTTTGTTTCATCTGAAAGATTGGCTGGAAAATTAAAGACTCCGGCGACCCATAGTTTTGTTGTCGTCCATTTGTTTCCCGGTTGCCTTACCACCACAGCTCCGGCGATTGCCGTCGTTGTAACGGCGGTTCTATTCTATTGTTTATTGGCTTCTTCTCTCTTGATGATGGATTCATGTTTGGAGTTTTTTTCACTGTTATTGTTTCTATATTAAATCTACTGCTATGATTATTCCCTGTTAGAATTCGACTGATTATTGTGTGGAAGAGGCACCCAACTATTTGGAGATATAATAATTAAAAATAGTAAAAACAAGAAATGACTCAAAAAAATTAAAAAGACTGATAATGTGGCATTTAGATAATGGTTCAGACCCAAAAATTCAGACACTCGCCTCTTTTATGTGTAAAACACGTGCTCGCCAGCTGTTAAAAGTGGTATGTCGCAGCTACACTTTAGAAAGGCCGAGTGTGTAAGATGATTTTCATCGGCAAATAGTGTGTAATAGGGATTTGGTCCATAGTTCATGGGGTATATGTATTTTGCCTAAAGTTAATGAAGTAAAATTAATAAACTTTAATATGGGCCTCTACCCACATGGAGGAAATCTCAATCTCCTTAAAGACAGATTTAGAACCAAAGGCCATAAACACTTGAAGAAAATGAGTGAAGCCATCTTCACGAAAAGGCAAGTTCAAATAAAAAAGAACATTGCCGGGGTTTCTGCGATTAAGTTAAATATTTCAAACTAACCATCAAGAGTTTCTTTAGTAAACTAAGGTTCGAAAGAATAATTTCATATACGTATCACGATTGGTCAAGACAAGATAGTAGTAAAATCAGTAACATATTGTCTTAGCGTATGACGTCTGAAATTAACAGTCGCAGGACTAGGATGGTATTTTTATGACTTCAAAAAATTGTAAAGCACTTTGATATGTAAAATCACACAAAACTTACAAGATGTGTGGGGGCACATACCTTCAGTAAAGGATTTACGACTCATTTATTGCAGAAGCATTCTCCTTAGAGATCCTAGTACCACAATCTACTGGATCACTCGCTCTACTACTTTCCAAATTCACATCAGGCACCACAGAGGACTTTGAGGCGTCATGAATCTGCTATAAAGGCACTTCATTATAAATGATCTCAAAGTAAAAGTTCAGACATAAATAACTCGACTTCGCTAAAGAAGGAGGTATGCATACAGAATCATGCAAGATCAGAAACCAGCAGGAATGGAAGACATGTAGCATCAGCGTAATTTTTTTTTGTATAAAGTATGTAGCTCCAGTAGGGATTATAATTCTAATCGGGAAATTCACTCAGAAACCAACCCCTGTGTAGAACAAGTCCTTATAAAGGCCAGTTATAAAAGGAAAGGAAAAGTGGAGGCTAGGAAAGAAATCAGAACTTTAAAATTCAAAATATTGAATGAAATGCTTTCTTTTCAGTTTCACATTTCAGCATAGAGAGGAGAGAGAGAGAGAACTCTTGACTAGAAGCAAATCCCTTTTCTTCTTCTTCTTCTTCTGATTTCTCGACTAGAAGCAAACTTAAGCATGTGACTGAAGAGAACTGCTATTTGTGGATTGAAATCTCAAATTAACAAGAAAAGAACATATCAGAGCTTGGCTAAAAAACCCTATATCATTCACCAAACATGAAACAGTCCAAATCTATTGCTTAGTCTTAAGCTCTGTATATAAATTCTCACAATACAGTCTAATGGTCACCAATGATTCCTCATGTTAGTTCGTCAAGAGGATGAAGATTGAATGTTGACATGTAAGTAGCATGCGCTCATGACTGTGATTATAAACCAAAGAGGGAATGAAGATTATAAACCATGGGTGATTGCAGATTCTAAGCAACGGTATGAGGCCATGGTTTCATTTCAAATGCTAACACCAATTCCGCAGCTTCATAAATGAAATGCTGCAAGTGCAATAAGAAAAATGATCTATACAAGCTAACGAAGAAGGAAATTCCATGTTCTTGTGCAGCCACAAAGGCACTAGTACAAAATTTCTCTTTAAGATGGTATAGCATGATTAAACTATTTATTCCACACAAAAAAAGGTATAACCTCTTGGGCTGGTGAAGCATTAGAGGGGGATGGACTCTTCATCTCAGCTGTAACATCTCTAACCGGGGCCTCATTTCTGATAGATTTCCCGCCAGAGACATCTGCTTGCTGGAAGTTGTTTACATTAGTTTCTGTAGGTCTTGTAATTTCTCTATCAGAATTATGGTCGTTGTTCGGCTTCTCATTACCAGTTTCACCACTTCCTGTATTCCTAATTCTGGAAATATGATAACATCGTCCAAAAGGCAACAAGTGAACAGAAGAATTGATAAATACTGAAATTCTGCTACTCTAATCTATCAAATGTAGAATTCAGAAGATCATGCACCTGATAGAATCATTGCAGGGAGTCTGTTCAGGTCTCGGTTTGTTGGAAAATAGCACTCCACGAAGCGGTTTTCCATCTATAACAGTTTCAATGGTATACCCATCTGGAAAACTCTTTGTGACCTTGGCTTGAAAAGTCTTCTTCCCCAGAGGAGTCTGGTATTCGTTCAAATAAATGTTCTGTCGACCTGCCACAATATCAGTCAAAACCAATGACACGACTGCTTCGCTGCTTCAACATTAAATGCACTACACAATGTATCACTACAGGGTCTATACCAAAAAGTACTATATATCAGATAACATATGACATGCTAGCACACTTTATTTTTCCTGGGAAAAAAAATATTCATAGAGAAGTGCACATGTTTAGTATCCACTCACATAATTACATAAAACTTTGCCCATAGCTTATAGCAAAGAAACAACAACAAATCTTTTTGTTATATATAGCTGTTGGATCATCATGGAGGCTTGCTTAGATGGATTATCATCCAATTGTTCCTCTCTTCAGTTATTCTTGTCTTTAAGGTCTCCTCTTACCTAACATATTGTCATGATAACAATTTAAGCAATCGCATTGAAAAGACAAAAGTAACTCACAAATGCATTAACAAGGAGCAGCTTCAGTAAGAAAATACTGAGGAAGTACAAGGTTGGGAAACTACAAAATAAAATCAAGAAGATACAAAAAAGTTTCTCACTTGGCTGTGTATAATTCAAAGGCAGTTGGTGATGGACATAAGCGTTATTCTCAAATCCAACAAGAGCATTATCATAGGGAGAAGCTAAAGCTTGTTGCTCCTGGCATTTTAACTTCAACTGCTTCCTCAAAGACAACTTCTCTATCCTTCTTTCGTCTCGTTCAGCCTCTCTAACAAGGCCTGGTGATATGAATATACAACATAGACTCAAATATTTCTCAAAGGGAAAGTTCTAAATCAATATTGTACGGAAAGCAATGTGCGGTTGTTGGTGGATTCAAAGATAGACCTGTATATAGATAATACATGTCCTCCAAGGGTTGAAGGTTATTATCACAACCACCTATGAACACAAGAGCACCTCCCAAGTGTGGATCTAAGCAATCCCCAGCTACTGAGAATCTGGCAGATGGGCCCTCACCAGTGGGCATGACCTCAGTCCACGTACCTGAAGCTGCAGGGACATTTCGAACATAGAACAGTACACAGACATCCAGCTTCAGATAGCGATCAATTGAATATCATATATCTCTTTTAATACACACCAATCATGACAAACAGCACAATAAGTCGGAGAAATTATCATTTAGAAGTTAACAGCAGCACAGATTTCCTGAATATAGTTCTAAAATATCTTTTCTGATTCTCAATGATGAATGCCAACTAAGATCCACCAAGCATCATTTCTGAAGATTTTAAAACAATGTCAAAATAATATGATCTCAGAATAATTAATTTCTTATTAACTGTTCTGAGGTACCCCGTTGATGTTGGGGACCACCCAAGGACAGGCACAGAGAGCATTTAGACCAAAATTTGCCTAGATGTTTGGTTTAGAAGAAAGTAACTGCACTTCCTCCTACTCAAATGCTCTATCCCGTATCAAGTATTATCACAAAAAAAAGAGGAGTCTTGGAGTGGTGGACAATAATGCGCTTGGTAATTAAGGAAAGAAAACATGGGGCACATAAGCCCCTTCATTTAAACAGAAAGATAATGCACTTGAAGAACCACAAAGACAAATTTGTGAGACGGGGGAGGGAAATAATAAATGCTGATTGAAGAAGAGCAAAGAATAGAAAAGAGAGACAGCATTCCAACTACAAAAAGTGATAAAGCATGACCAATATTCCAATCATTTTGAACCACTCTATTCTCATTAGCCAACATGAAAGTCGGGTTCCTCCCCCACATCCCACCCTCCCCCAACACCACAAAGAGAAGAGACACATATATACAAACAAATTTAACCCCCTGGCTCCATCTCTTCCATTATCATCAGCTCAGATCCATCTCAAATATGGTCACTGCAGTCCATTCCTACTTTCAGGAAGAGTCATGGGCTTGGTGTGATCTTCCATACTTTACATGATTTCTTCTTCCTCCTACCCTCTTCACTGTCCTTATGCTTTTTTGTTAATTAATTTTTTTAAGCTTCTCTCCTATAAGAGGATCAGGGACAAGAGGCTTGATGGAATAGCTGACGTCATCATACGATTTGGTGTCAATTGTTTGGTTTTCGTTTTGTAGGAAAAGAGCTTGAAAGCTATATGATTCAATAGATAACATACCAACATCAAGCACGTAAACATCATTAAATAGGCTCTGGTCATTAGCGAAACCCCCGAAGACAAACAAGTTCTTCCCAAATGCAATGGTTGTATGCCCAGCTCGCGGCGGCAAATTCTGGCCCGTAGTATTCAACTTGCACCAAACCAGAGTATCTGTGAAAACAGGATGCCAAAATAGTCATAAATACAGACTTAGTACTAGAAACAGAATTGTGATACAAGTGTAACCTTTTCTATATTTCACTTCAAGAGTGAGTTTCGTAAATACCTGTGTCAAGTATATGAACATCTGACAAATAAAAGCTAGATGTGTCTTCACCACCTATGATAATGATCTTATTATTCCAAGACGAACAGGAATGGCTCTCACGCTTACATGGCGGAGTGCCTGATGGCACAATGCATTTCCAAACAAATGTCTCTGCCAAATAAGAAGAGCATTAAAAAAAGTATATGAAATAACCACCACCAGGATCATTAGTTCCCCACCCCCCCTTATTATTTATATATACATAAACTTCATAGAAAAGAAAACCAAGAGCTGTATGAGATCTAAAAACTGGATTCCTAATAACTGTGCAAGCCTTTAGTGATTTAAGTAGCAGTAGAATACAAAATGCATATGAACAATAGGATAAGAACAACTTGAGTTCACCTTTGAAGAGATCATCTAACTTTCTCTCAAATTATAAACTACAAGGCAGGGGAAGTTTCTTTTCCGAGGAGTTACAATGCTTAGGGTTCAATTCCTAAGAGAACAAAAACTTTGAGACAGAAAGGACTGGCTGATGCTCCTGTGTTTCTTCACTTTCCTCTTCCATAACTACCAATTTAAAGTTTGTATCACTACCCTCCCACTGCCCTCGTCTTTCTATCAGTAGTTCGATGGTTTTTGAAGTTCTTCAGAATTTCACATGGTTACGCGCAAGTCACAATGCAAAATTCTCCATACTTGCACCCAACCGTACTGGCTAAGTGCAGTCTACCATTAGCCACCTTAATAACAAACAATATATATATATATATATATATATATATATATATATATATATATATATATATATATATATATATATATATAGAGAGAGAGAGAGAGAGAGAGAGAGAGAGGAACACCTGTATTTAATACGTAAACATCATCATAGTATATTTCAGTGTCATCGTATTTGCCGCATCCACCAAATATGAAAAGCCGTTTTCCAATAAGTGCTGCACTGTGGCCTTCCCTTGGATTAGGGCAATCGCCTCTTAGACTTGGTGATATCCATGTATTTGAAGCTAAAAGCAAGTAGATTCAGCAAATTATTAGGTAGTAGTGAGTGTAAATCATTTGGAACAACAGATAGAATTCCTTATATCTGCCAACTTTCAACATTCAAGCAAATGGAAGAACAGAACATGTTTTATCTCATGATATCGTCTCTCTGGAAAACATTGCACTTTTGGGAATAACAAGTTGGAGTATCTTTTTTCTTTCTGATAAGGTAAGATAAAGAAAATAACAGATTATCTTGAAGCTTTACTGGTTTCTGATAGGAGAGACCAGCCTAAATCTTGTAAATAGCCACAAATCAATGAAAGAAAGAATTATCTTCCACTAGACCGAGGTATTAATGGTGATTTTCTAGTCTCATAGAACAGAATGTAACACAACTTCCTTAGTAGAACAACACAAAATGTAATAACTTAAGGGTTTATCCTCATACCATTAGACTAGAGATATTCTAATCAGAAGATCTAGAAAGCAAATTTAATTTAACATTACACAGACAACAGAGGCAACTATTAAAAGATTAAGCAATAAGAAAATGGTCTTAAGATCAAAATGCACTAACAAGTGTCCAAAATATGCAAATCGTTAAGAGGCTCTCTCCCATTTGTGCCCCCAAACACAAACAGATTATCTCCAATGTTTGTACAACTGTGGCTGTCCCTAGGTGTGGGCAATGCTCCCTTCATCACTGGCTCACTCCACATTCGATTAACTGCAAAATAGCAGAACAATGTAAGGATAGATTTATCAAAACCTCTCCCCAATTCCTTATGTAACAAAACTTTAAAGCCCAAATCAGTCCTGGCCCTAAGTCTTCAGAAAAAAACTAATATAAGAAAACCCTAAACAAGCATACTGAAAAAAGCCACAAGAAAACATGAATTGACAAAACAATTTCAGGAAAGGAAAAGCCAGAAACAAGAAAAGGAGCAATTTTGCTTGGAAAAAAGGAAAGAAAAAGAACGTACCAGTGTCAAAGACGTGAACTTTATTGGAATGTCTGTTGTCTTTGCCATAGCCACCGAAGACGTAGAGAAGCTTACCTCCGAAGACAGAGTTACAGGTGTGGCCCCACCTTTTCCCAGGCCCACCACCTCCATGTACACCCACTCTTTCCCATCTCATGCTTAATAACAACTCTACTCAAACCAAAAGCACCGCAATAATCTAATCAAAAGCCAAAAGCCTAGGTTTTCTATTAGAAAATAAATAAAATGTGCAACAAAGAAGGAGAGTGATATTATGCTAACTTTTGATTAAGGTTAAATGGGTTTCTGGCGATTTCATGACTGAGATTAATAACATGCAGCGACAGGCGAGTGAGAAACGGCCATTAACAAGTGTCACAGTCTCCAGAGTCTGTACAACAGGGAGTGGAAACTGTACTATTTCACAAACATTGGGGACTATTGATGCAAATAAAGATAAGTTATCCATGGGACCCAAAAAGCGCCCGAATCAAATTACAAATACTACGATGAGAAGTTGAGAACCATAGTCTAGGGGTGCTAAAAAGCAGTTTTACAAGTCAACTTACTTTGATAAGTGCTTTTTCAAAAAAGTATTATTTTCAAAAGTATTTTGGCAAATTAATTTAAAAAATACTTTGAATCAGTAATTAGTATTTAGCCAAACTTTTAAAAAGTGTTTCTTGGAAGAAGCTACTTTTTCTACTTTTCCAAAACAGCTTTTGCTTCTAAAATATTCTTTTTTTATAAAAAGCTTGGCCAACACTTCAACTTTGAAAAAAGATAGTACTTTTTTTGTACTTTTCAGCTTGGAAAAGCTTGGCCAAGCAAGCTATAAGTTTAATCGAGTTAAAACATATATAAAGCAATAATGAAAATTTACTTAATTCAAGTTATGATAAGTAATGGTCATAATGACAACTTAACTCAAGTTTAAAACAAATTACATTATTATATGGCATGTCATATGAGTGGATTTGGTCAATTTCTAAGAAGTAAAACTATTAAAATATTATTTTATGTCCGAAAACAATGAAATATTTTGTTTTTAATCACTAAATTTTAATATCAAAGTGAAGTGAGCTTAACAATCGCCGATATAGCTTAAACGGCATTCGATTGAATAATGATAAAAAATGGTTAAGTTACTCTAAATAGTCTAATTAATCTATTCAGCTACTTCAACCACAAGAATTTTTAGTTTTATTGCATTATGAGGATTGTACCTACTGAGTAGATACACTAGATTATAAGCGTAGATGGTATCTATTTCAATTAATTACTTTGTCATTGTCCTTCGTCCTTTTATTTTATATCCCTTGATAAACTTGATTACTACTCCACTATTAAGTATTGAAGGTTGGAAGAGATTGTCATTGTCATTAAATGGAATGGAAACGTCAAGAGTGAAGAAGAAAAAGCATTCTGCCAAGAAGTAAAGATGATTGCGTCTGATTAAGAAGTACCAAAAGTGAAGGAGGTAATTAATGGAAACGCCTGCCAGTAGAGCTCTTTTTCAGAAAGTTAATTAACGATGCCTAGTCTAAGTTGGCAGAATTGGCTCTACTCTACTGTGCAACAAATGACCAACTGACAAGAAGTATAGTGGTTCAGGGTGAGTTGTCCATTAGGACGACCTCATTAAAGTATTGTGTACATATCTATCAGGGGATCGCATTCAATGTGATATTAATTTATGCCGATATAAACTAATAACCATAATCGATAAAAGTAATTCCAAATTTTATACCGGAATTAGATGCTAAACAAATGACGCTTTAGGGGCAAACCAGCCAATTCCAAGCATGGATGATGCTCATAACTCACTCAAGGACCATCTTATATTTGAAATGGTTAAAATGAGCAGCGATGCATAATTTGCACTTATGATATGGAACTATTGTTTACAAATCGTCATTTATGGAATGATTACTGTTCCTTACACTTTCTATATGTGAATGCAAATTCATTGAACATTTCTTCTTGCTAACTCAGTCTATCACTTGGCTTTGACTAAAGCTGAGAACTAGCTATCAGATTTGTGTCCCTGCAATTGCCTCCTCACTAGTGCTGTATAGATCCCATTCTTGTTTAGAAGATCATCATGTGTCCCACTTTCCACTATTTGACCATCTGAAACAACAGCCACAGTGTTTGCACTCTTGACCGTCGAAAGCCTATGAGCTATGACAAGAACGGTTCTGCCTTTCATCAGGGAATCCATGGCATCCTACATAGTATATAGGCAGGATTATACAATTAATCTCAAGTCATTTAGTTGAACAATAAAGGGAGACTTAAGGCCGGCAGGTATCAATAAAAGCAGACCTGAACGAGATATTCACTTTCAGCATCCAGTGCGCTCGTGGCCTCATCCAACAATAAAACTTTTGGGTTCATCAGCAGTGCTCTAGCAATTGCAATTCTCTGTTTCTGACCACCAGAAAGTCTCAATCCTCGTTCTCCGACATGTGTTTGATATTTTTCAGGAAAATTGGATATAAATTCATGAGCATTCGCCATTTTCTGTTCAAACAGCAACGTGATAACAGTTAGAATATTTGCAGAAGAATGCAATTAGACATTAAAGACATTGAAACTTACAGCTGCTTTTTCTATATCATCAGTGCTTGCTTTGCCACCCAATCCATAGGCAATATTTTCTTCGATGGAACAGTTGAAAAGAACAGGTTCCTGGCTCACTATACTAACCTGACATTTTTTGGAAGAGATGAATTACATTAGGAATCCACAACTTGTAAAAGCTGAAAACGTCATTTTTATCTTAAAAAAGGCGGGGGGAAGGGGCAAAGCCTTTAAGATGTCTACATGTTGAGGAAATGTATGGTGAAATATCAGCAACTTTTCATGCAAAGAGAATATTAGCTTCACGAACACTCTATTTATTTCCAGCATTACCTTATGGTGTAGGTGCTTATGAGATATTTCAACCAGAGGAACCCCATTGAGCAAGACCTTCCCTTTAACGGGATCATAAAATCTTTCTATCAAATTTGCTATTGTGGTCTGCAGCAAAGAATTCATGAGCGGTCATAACTCTTTTCTTTTTCATGAACAACAGAAACTGGAGGTGTGGAACAGCATAGGCATGAAATGGAACTTTAATAACAGAGGGTCTTACCTTTCCACCACCACTTGGACCAACCAGTGCAACCTTTGAACCAGATGGCAGCTTCAATGTTATACCCTGAACCAACAGTGTTTTTTTGGTCAACAACCATTTTTGTTCATATAGGTATTTTATAAGAAGATATGCTCCTAACCTTGAGGATCGTGTGGCTAGGACGGGATGGATAGGCAAACCAGACATCATCCAATTCTACCTCTGCAGCTTGATCACTGTAACAAAAGCAAGCAAGCAACCGACATTTGATTTAGTCATGTTGAGTGTGACTGGCTAGAGAAACATAATTCGAGTATAATAGTCAGAATTGTCTCTGATCCTGAGAATCAGAGAGGTTTAATTGCTTCACAACGCAAAATCTGATATGACGGATTATAAGATATTGGTACGTGGGCATGGATGCATATCAGAATTGAGGGCACCAGAACAGCTTGAAGCTGAAACAGCATTGGCCAGCTTTAATCGAAATTTTGGCAGGCATGAAAAGAAATGGAATTTGCTTACACAATGTGAGAAACAATGAATGAGAACACCCATCAAAAGGCATGTTTCTATTTTTAAAAAACCTGAATATTCTATTAAACATAGCTTCTTAACATGCAGAAAAGTGAAAGGCATTTTCACCATCGGTCACTGATTACATATAACCAGATAGCATCTGCTCATAGAGTCTTCCAGTGACACTAATTAGTGTTTATGCCACAAATCCTGACGTTGCTGAAATCTTTTAGCGGTAAAGAGGTATTGAACAATTAACTATTGACTTACTAAAAAACAAAAGGAAAACTGTTGGATTAGGAGAATAAAGGAACAAACCCCAAAGGACATTGGTTTCCTGATTCTGGCATGGACGACGTACGATCCAAGAGCTGAAATACCCGTCTGCTAGCTCCAGCAGCTTTCATTGCTACAGTATATAATCCAGATAGTCCAGATACTGATGATCCAACTGTAAGCATATTCAATTGTTTACGTCAACAAAGGATCTAAGATAGAAAATGATAAATGCTAAAATATTAGGCAACAAAGGTTCTAAGATAGAAATTGATAAACGCTAAAATATTAGTGAACAAATGATCTAAGATAGAATAAGTTATGGGGCATCCAGAGGTACAATTCACTTAAGAAAAAACCAATGAGGGAGTCACCTGTCAAGCTATAGAGTATGAAGGATGTAAGAGCTCCAGGTGTCATAGCGCCTTGGATAGTTAGAGTGGCTCCATATATTACTACTACAATAACTGATAGAGTAGATGCTGCATTTAAGCTTCCAGAGAAAAGACCAACCACTTTCTGCAGAAGAAAAAAATGAGATATCAGGTTTTCCTTCTCATTCTTTCACCATCACTCTCTCTTTCTCTCTTCTTTTCTTGTGCAGAGGTGGAAGAATTAAGCAACTCACAGCCTGTCCAAGCCCAAGCTTTAAGGTCTCATCAACTTTCTCTGAATAGCGTGAAATCTCAAAATCTTCCTGTGCAAATGATCTCACTGTGCGTATAGCGCCAAACGTTTCCTAAACACAAAGTGCACCTTGATTCCTTGAGAATAAACCATTGATAAATTTCTAGGATACTATGTTTCTTACAATATACGGAAACATAACAAAAAAAAGTGAGGTGATCAAGGAAATATATTAATTTGATAAAAATAAATAAAGGATATATATTAACAGCCAGCAAACATGTACTCCCCGGCAACGTGAAAGTTCATAAAACACTGCAAGATCCCAGCAGCAACTTGAACTCAGCAGAATTAAGTAGCTAGACTTTCTAGTATCATTTCTCTGTTGATAGTTACCACACGGCTTTATGAACTACTTTAGCACTACTTCTATGAAAAAACTCCATGCAAACGTTCATATTCAAAGGATGTAAGATTTAGTTTCTATAACTGGTAGGGATGGCAAGCGATGCGGGTGCGGGTTCTGTCTTAACCCGCAAAATTTCAAACCAACCCGCTCTGCCTGCATAGCATTTTCACCCGCGCCCACCCGTCCCACACCCACACCCATACACATCCACCCGCCCCGCTTAATTTTTTCTTCTTCATTTTGTCAGTTTCATTTCTTTTATTCTCCATGTCAGTTAAGGATTTAAGGTGGATGCAACTGGAAACTGTTTTACTAAGTTTCTTTTTTCTTTTTCGTGCAATAAGCGAGAAAAAGAAAATAGTTAATAGGTTTTAAAGAACCATCAGATGCTACACATCATGTCTCAAATCCTCTGAATTTTTAGTCTTTCCATTTGAGATGTTTAAAAAATATATGACA